GAACTATGGGAAGACACCATTGAACCATCTCTCCTCTGCCTCTAAGAACTATGGGAAGACACCATTGAACCATCTCTCCTCTGCCTCTAAGAACTTTGGGAAGACACCATTGAACCATCTCCTCTGCCTCCATTTCTTATCTGAGAGAGAAGGAAAAGGAGAGCTCGTGGAGTTTCAGCCAGTAAGCCAGGCAGCTGGCTGCCACATGTAAGGGCCTGAACTAGGGGCTGACAGAGGGAAGCAGGATTTGATTTCTCTATTCAAGATCCGTGTAATTGAAAAAATAAGTCTCATGCACAGGGCAGACAAGGTCACCAACAAAACAAAGTAGTATGACAGGTGACATGGATGGGTAATGTTATAGGCATTCAGATTAACAGATGTGACTTCTAGCTCGTAAGAGATAACATTTAAGTATGTATTAAAAGGTAAAAAGGCCATGTACATTTAAAAGTATTTCTGTTGTTAAAATATAAACGAAAATCTGATTTTGAAGCGCCTTTACAGAGGTTTCTACCATACTGTTATAACACTATGGTAGAAACTTTGCAATCTTGATAATTTGGGTTGAACATGAGCATCTGCTGAGCTGACTTGGAGAGGCACTGCTGTGAGAAGAGGAAGGCAGAAGGCCATGAAGGTCCCGTTTCTGCTACTTCTGTGGTTTCTGCTGGTGCTGGTCAGCACAGGGATGAGGTGCTAAGTGTTCCTTAGGAAGCCTCCCCTGTCCTGCTCTCAGCTTTGCCAGCTTGGAGGGAAGGCTGTAGATGTCCATTTTGGGCCCTAGATTTTGCAGATCTAGGAGGCACAGAACGGATCCAGCAGTGGCAGTGGGTGCAGCTGTGTTGGCTTTCCGATTCTCCACCTTCCTGACTGCCAGGGGAGCCCACCTTTTTGGTGGTCCCACTCTGCGGTGTTTCTCTGGGATCCCTCCTGGAAGCCCAGCCTAAAAGCTTGTTCTTCCAACCTCCCTCGATTTTCTAAGTACCTAATTATCCATATTAAATCCCCTTCTGCTAGTCAGGTGAGGTAGCTCACACCTGTAATCCTAGCACTCTGTGAAGCTGAGGCAGGAGGATCATTTGAACTTAGTAGTCTGTGCCAGCTGGAGCCAGAGTGAGGCCCTGTCTCTACTTAAAAATAGAAAAACTAGCTGGGTGTTGTGCACACCTATAGTCCTAAGGTGTGCACCTTGGGAGACTAGGGCAAGAGGATCCCTTGAGCCTAGGAGTTAAAGGTTGCTGTGAAATGTCATGGCTATCTACTCTGGCAAGAGTGAAACTCTGTCTCCCCAAAAATAAAAAATTAAATCCTCTTCTGCTTAAAATAGAGTCATTCCTGTTTTCTGTAACTAAAGGACAACTGGTAGGGGAACTAAAGCTATATCTATAATATTTTATTTCTTTAAAAAAATTCTGAAGCAAACATGGTAACATTTTTAACATCTGGGTAGTGAGAACATGGATGTTATTATTTGTTGTGTGTTTAAAATTATATCATGTTATAAATTTTTAAAAAGTTTTGATTATAAAATCCATATGTATATATCTAGTTTTCATAGATCATTGCTTATGCTTTCATATTTCTACTCAAAAGAGTAATAAGAAATTCTGAAAGTCTTAAGTTACAGGATTTAAATTAAAATGACACAGAACCTCAACTGTATTGTATTTCTAAAACATAAATGTTTACGGTTATTTTTATTTTATGGTTTTAATAATATAGAGAAAATAATTTCGGCTCGGCGCCTGTTGCTCAAGTGGCTAAGGCGCCAGCCACATACACCTAAGGTGGCGGGTTCGAATCCAGCCCGGACCCGCCAAACAATGACGGCTACAACCAAAAAATAGCCAGGTGTTGTGGTAGGCGCCTGTGGTCCCAGCTACTTGGGAGGCTGAGGCAGGAGACTCGCTTGAGCCCAGGAGTTGGAGGTTGCTGTGAGCTGTGAAGCCACGGCACTCTACCCAAGGGGATAGCTTGAGGCTCTGTCTCAAAAAAAAAAAAGAAAAGAAAATAATTTCTATAAAAAGTACTTTCATCTAATGGATGTCCAGTTCCATATCTTTTTTCATTAAACTCTTTGATAGAAAAAGTTGCTTAGTTGTTATAAAACTAATTTGATAAAAAACATTAAGGCCTTGAAAATGTTCAGAAACTTTCATATGATAACAATATTATTATATATTAATATTGATATTGTTAACCTTAATATTAGTGATATTAATATTAATTAATTAATAAAATATTAATTAATTATGTTATATGAACTATATGTTTATGTATAATTATATAATATTATGGAAATTAATGACAGGATAAAATTTCTGTATTAAAGTTTTCTTCCAAATTAGTAAGAGGAGAATTAGCTTCTTTACCTGATCTTACTTTTCATTGTCCCCCAAATGGTAAAATAAATCAAGGAGACCACAGAAGACTTAAAGTGATGCTATAAAACCAATTACTTTGTACTATCTTTGCAACTCTTCTATAAATCTAAAATTGTTTCAAAATAAAAGTTTATTTAAAAAAATTACTATTCATTCCCCTATTCAACAGCAAACTTATTTCATAAAGATGCTTACATTCAGTTTGTTTTCTTGAAATTTTA